AGGAAAACTACTTTCTGCTAAGATGCCAAGCTTCACCATGACTCCTCTGCTTCCTGAACTTTAGTAAGAACTAATGGCTTCCAGGTGTTGGCAAATAAATCGTGCTAAGGTGTAAATGTCTGATAGAAAGCCAGCATTTCCAAAGGAACAGCTAGCTCTCTAATGGTGCAAAGCTCACCCCAAGTGTTTCTATGTAAGCATGGCGTGGGGTTTGGTTTGGTGATTCTAGGAGGCGAAACCTGTCAGGTAGAAGAGAAAGGCGCAGGCCTCTGGGCTCAGGCTGACCTCTATGCCTTTCAGACAGGGAGGGAAGGAGTGAGCGCCCCTGCCCCAGATGCTCCCCCAGATTCTTAGAGATGGAGGGGTGGTTTCCACAGCCAGACTGACCTCTCCAGATTTGTCCCACCTTCCCTGAGACAGGAACCCCCTACCTGCTCGGCCACTGGGAGCCATGGCTGCCACCGGCCCCTGGAGGGTCCATCCCAGCTGCTGCTCTTGAAGAGAAGCAAGCTGTGCTGCCTTCTTCTTTATCCCTCCCTCTCTGGCAGGCTCCTCCCACTGCCTGCCGGTGGAGGTGGGGCCAAGGGGTGGGGTGCAGAGATGAGGGGCCAGAGGCCTTCTGGGGTCTGTGGGAGATATTACTAGAGGACATCGAGGGCTGGGAATGTACGCCGCCCTGCGAGGAGCCATGAGGACCCCGGGATGCAGATCGAGGTCCTGAGGACTGAGTCCTGGGCTGCAGAGGGCCAGTGCTGTCCAAGGGGATTTGTAGCGCAGGAGGCCAGATGGGGCTCCCCAGCCCAGCGCTCCTCAAACCCAGCAAGCAGAGCAGTGGTTGGCTGGAGAGACCAGTGGGCAGGCTGGGAGAAGGTGGAGCCCGTGTGGGGTCAACCTGGCCACGTACTGGGGAGATCCACGGACGGGACCTGGCCTCCAGTCGCTGTGGTCGGGACTGTCTCCATCCCCGAAGCCAGCTGTGGGAGGTGGCCTGCCGGCAGCTTGGTCCAATGAGGATGGGTGGAAACCTGGATGGTAGCAAATCAGCCAATCAGAGCCTTCGTCCTCGCACCTGGGAGAGGCAGGTGGTAACACTTAGCCTTCAGGTTGTGAGGATCTGGGGAAGTGATGTGTCTGTAATGCACGCACACACAGGTGCCCGAGGAGGAGCATCAGGGGTCGTGATGGCCAGAGTGACAATGCCACCCACCTCCTGGCAGTGCCGAAGGCCAGGAACAGAAGGAAGTGAGCTCTGAGGCCTATCCTCAGAACTGAGGGAGCCTGGATGAGTTCTACTGCGGCAGGCTGTGAAGATGGCAGGCCTCAAGAGCTGAGACACGGCCTTCTGTGATCTTTCCCCATCTGGTAGTGGGGAGGGGACAGGAAGGTGAGAACGAGTGGGCGAGGGCTGAGGGTGGGGCTCAGTGGTGCTGACGTTCACGAGGCCCAGTGTTCCATCCAGAACACAAGCACAAGACCCACTGCACGCAAGGCTGCAATTTCAGACACTTCCTTCCCTGTTCCTCCAGTTCCCCGGGACGTCACTCTCCTGGCTGAGAGGAGCCCCAGGGAGCTGAACCCAGGGAGGCCAAAGTCGTCCTCAGCCCCACCCACCCCGGGGGTCCTCTTGGGACCCCTAGTCTCATGGCTGGTGTTTGTACTTGGTGCTGTTTGTCGGCTGGTTCCCTGTCTCTCCTTTCCCCTTCTAGCTCCCCAGGAGCTAGAAACTGCAATCAGCCTGGTTCAATGGGGGGAGTGGAGAGGTGGCGGTGGGGGGAGGGGGAGGGTATGGTAGGGAAGGGATTGGGGGAGTGAGTGGAGGACACAGGAAGATGAGTGTTCTTCCAACTGGGCCACTAAGTGGAGCTGCAGGCAGCAGTAGTGGTAACTGTGTGTGTGTGTGTGTGTGTGTGTGTGTGTGCGCGCGCACTGTCAGGTGCTAACTGGATCAGCAGGCGGCTTCAGGCTTGCGGGTTTGGCAGTGTCTGTGCATGCTGGGATGGTACCATTTCCCCTTTTAGCTTTGGAGAGACTGGCTTCCTGTGTTATTTTTTCAAATCTTGGTTTCCCCTTCTGACTTCTAGTCCTTAAGACTTGTGTGTGTGTGTGTGTGTGTGTGAGAGAGAGAAAAAGAGAGAGAGAGAGAGAATGAAGGGAAGGAGAGAGAGGGAGAAGGGAGGGAGAGAGAGGGAGATGTGCCAATACTGGGGCTTGAACTCAGGGCTTTGTGCTCTTGCTTAGCCTTTTTTCTTTTTTTGTCGGTTGTGGGGCTTGAACTCTGGGCCTGGATGCTGTTCCTGAGCTCTTCAGCTCAAGGCTAGCACTCTACCACTTGAGCTACAGCGCCACTTCCGGTTTTCTGGTGGTTTATTGGAGATAAGGTCTCATGGACTTTCCTACCCGAGCTGGATTTGAACCACCATCCCCAGATCTCAGCCTTCTGAGTAGCTAGGATGACAGGTGTGCTCAACATTTTTTTTATGTTTTTGAGATGGAGTCTGCTATATTGCCCAGGCAGGCTTCAAACTTCTGGACTCAAGAGATCATCCTGAGCCGGGCGCTGGTGGCTCATGCCTGTAATCCTAGCTACTCAGGAGGCTGAGATCTGAGGATCGCAGTTCAAAGCCAGCCCGGGCAGGAGAGACCGTGAGACTCTTATCTCCAATAAACCACCAGAAAACCGGAAGTGGCGCTGTAGCTCAAGTGGTAGAGCGCTTGCCTTGAGCTGAAGAGCTGAGGG